ATTATGTGCTGTTTTTCTTCACTAAATGCATTAGTACAGTATTAAAATGGTATTTTTTATTTTTAAGCATGTAATTTTTAATAGTTGTTTGACTTTCCTTATAGGTGATGGCATGAATGCTTACATGGCATATAGAGTAACAACAAAGGTGAGCCTTTGCTCCTTTAAAAAAATATTAAACCCTCATTATGGGAAGTATGAGGTTACGATGATGATTGAGGTGAAAGTAATCCCTGTCTTTATAAAGTTTACCATCTGTGAAGATTGCCAAGAAGTAGTTACAATGAGTTGTGAGTGTTTTGATAGGTAAAGTAAAGTGTTCTGTGAGAGTATGCAGGAAGGGACCTAATTTAGACCTGAGGGGTCGGGAAAGGCCTTGGGAAAGTTGTGTCTAAGCTAAGACAAAGGTGAGGGAAGTGAATTTGTGGAGGGACAGGGGGAGGAGAAGAATGTTTGTTCCAGGCAAAGAGACTTGCTTGTATAAAAGCCAGAAGTCAAGAAAGCGTTGTACTTTCTAGGATTTGTAGGTAGTGGTACATGATTGAATTATTTGGCAATAAGCTTCTGTGTATTATAAACAGACACGTTAAGTAGTTTGGCTTCATAAGTATTATGGAGAGTCATTAAAGAGGTTCAAACCAGAATGTGGCACAATTGGATTTTTGTTTTAGAAAGATCTCTAGCCTCAATATGAATTGGTAGGGTCAAAGTGGAGGTCAGGGATTTCCAGTTAAGAGTCTACTGCAATTATTAACGGATTGTAGGTCTTCAAATCTTAAAAGAGAGAGTCTGTTGCAGCAATCCTAGCTGTGAGAAGTAATACTGTATACTAAGGAAATGGTTCTGGAGGTGGGTAAGATAAATGGCTTCTTGAGTTAGGAGGTAAAATCAATAGGACTTGGATATAAGGGATGAGGAAGGAGAGGAATGCCTAAGTTACTGACTAAAGGAACTTTGTAGTTATGGGAAGGATTCATGGAGAAAGGCAACACAGGGAGGAACACAGGATGGGGGTGAGATTTGTTAATTCTTTGAACAAATATTAAGCAGCTGCTGTGGTGTCAGGCTCTATTGCAATCCTTGGATTATAGAAGTAAACAATGCAGACAAGCGCCCTTCTCTTATGGA